ATCTGTGAGGGAGGGAGTGGGGCTGGGGAAGGTGCTGCCCAGCTGGGGTTGGGGCAGGGCGGGTACCGAGCTGCGGCTAGTCTGGGAGGCACTGGGAGGGGCAGGGGAGGGGAGAGGCAGCTCCTGCTGCTGCTCCAACAGCTCATCCAGGAGGGCATGCATGTAGCTCCAGATCTGCTCTGGACAGGCCAAGCAGGCTGCAGAGCTGCACTTGGGGCAGGCAGCAGCGATGCTGGGAAGGGCACTACAGGGGAGGGGGTTGCAGTCACCCCAAATTTCAATACAGAGACCCTGTAGCCCCCTCCCAACACCACTGCCACCCACCCCGAGAGCAGCACAGTGTGGCCCCTTGCCCCAGCCCGTAGCTGCAGCCCACCTGGCCTGCACTGCACAGATTCAGGGGCACATGCTTCTCCCCTCCCCCCATGCCCTCCTAGATAAGCTGCGGAAACCACCTGACAAGCCACTGGATGAACTGTGCGCAGCAGTGGGAACTACCCCTGCCCTCTCCCCATGCCCCCCAAATGAGCTGCAGCTCCATCCCACCACCCTACCCCACCCCAACTGGGCAGTGCCTACCTCAGCCCTAGCACTACTCCCTCCCTCCCTGGAGGAGAGGGAAGGGGACACTGATCTGACCCCCCCCATGCCCCTTCCCTCCACCCTTCCCCTTTCACCACAACAGACTTACTAGCTGCATGCAGCTGTCCACGCTGCCGGTCTGTGCTCCTCACTGCCTGCATGCTGTGCTGCGGCTGCGCACATGCAAGGGCATTTATCAGCCAAATTACTGGCCACATCAGGCCAACTGCCAATATAGTCAATTTTCTTTATATTGGTACCAATCCAATATTGGACCAATATATTGTTGCACCTTTACTTACTACTGCTCTTGCAAAGGTCTGGGACTTAGCTTTGTTGCTGTCCTGCCAAACCAGAAAGTCCCTGTTGCCTGACCCATACAGTCTCCTGGGATGCCACATTTCCCAAGTGCTCCATGTTTCCAAGAGGACTAAACTCTATGGCCGCTATGGCCTTGGGAGCGCATAGGAGCCTTTCAAGACTGCCGAATGCTCCAGAGGCTGGGACCACCTCTCAGATGACTGGGGCTCCCAGTCTTGGAAGCATGCCACCTGGGAGCTCCAATCACCTAAAGGGGCTCCCAGCTGGGGAAGCACAGGGAGCCAAACTAGCTGTGTAGGAGCAGCCCAGGGTCAGGATCCCCCCCGCAGTAGCAATATGGTATAGCAGGAAGTATGATTGTTGACCCTGCATCAGATTCCATCATGCCTTTATTTTAGTATCTGTCAGAGGCCTATGTCATAGTCAGGTATGAACCTGGAAGAATCTTTTTTTTACATTCTATCTTCCAGAAACAAGGTGCGTGCTTTATTAGGTGACATGCACTATGCAAGAAAATGGTGGTAAGTGAAACAGTAGCTTTTGAAGGATCATAACATTTCTAGATTCAAGCCTGGTTATCAAGTAACAAGTAAAGAACTTTGGGAAATGCAGTAAAGCTCCTAATTGCAGCTAAATGTGATATATATGTAGAGAGCACCTGGAGACTTTTAAAGTCTACAGGTTTTAAATTTTTGGAACACAAGAAACGTTTCTTCCATTTTGGAAAAATTAGTGGACAACTGTTCTTGTGTAAACTGATGGACTTATATTACCTTTCACTAGTCAGTAAGGCAATCCTGATATTTTGATCATAGGCAGGAAAAGAATAAGACCAGAAATACACAGTAGAAACACTAATACATAAATAGCTAGGTTATTTTCAGATACATGACAAATATGAAAACTTACGTGCTCTGAAAAGAACCTTTTGGAGAATGAAGATACAATTCGTCGAGCTTCTAAACCAGCATTGCGGCGTGCTTTATATTCCTCGAGCCAATTAACACCATCTGTCTGGTTATAATATTTCAGTAGTGATGGCCACCTATGTAACAGACAAGCAGGAACAGGTTCAAAAGTTAATGGTTCAATCCCACTAGGAGAGCTTAATATTGCAAAATGTTACTTATTGCTAGGCAATTAACCAACGTGACTCTAGTATCTGAGACAAAGCCAAGACATTATATCTTCACTCTGATGTAGTAAACCATAACTCCTATTTTTCCCATATAATTATTTCTGGTTGCACATAAAATATAGCAAACAAACTTATTTTTAAACATTAACTAAGTGTTAAAGAAGAGGTTTTCAAAGGAGCCTGAGAAGCACAAGTCCCTCCCACAATCTTTCTATAAGACCTGTGACTGTAAACGCTTCAGGCGCTTCTGAAAATCTCCCTCTAAAGCTTCACAGAATTAAGATTTAATGTCAGTAAGAGACTAAGTGCAGAGTTTTAAAATTATATTAATTTCCCAATTCCAAAGACAAACCAGCCTCAAGTAGACAATGATCTCATCTATCGAGTCTGGAATTCATGCCCAGTGTTCTTCTTACTGTATCTCAGCTCTAACTAAAGGGTGAGTAGAAGATAACTCCCTATCCTGTGTTAAGCATAGCAAATGACAAATAGTTATAAGAAAATCTCAGAATTTTAAAATCAGGTCTTTAAAGCTATGGGTTACTTTTAAAGTAAAAATACTTTATGCATATACAACAACCTACGCAGGTCATAATAAAGGCACACTGGTTTTGCTCAGCACAGCTGTCAAAACTAAAATAGCATGACCCATTCCTCATATAACCTGTCAAGTACATTTGAGCTGAAAATGCAACTTCAATTCATATTTCAAAAGCTACTATTGACAGCAACCTTTTTCCTAATAAAATGGCATCATTTAAGACACTTGCTGCATGGCAACCCCATGTAAGAGAACATGCCAGGCCAGCAATATTAATAGCTACTCAAAAGATAGAAAAATCAGATACTTAATGAGGACGTATAAAAGTTGAAATAGAATTGTACTTGGTATGGTTGGAAATACTGTTGGAAGTGCGAGTGAAAAGGCTGTATAAAACAGTGGCTGGCCATTTTGTAATTTGCTGTCATCTTCAGTGTATATTTTCCAATTTTCATCAGAATATTAGTATTTTAATATGACCTTCTTGCTTGCCACAACTTTAATAAAGATAAAAAAAGATTTTATTACAGTAATTACAGGATTTTTTTTTAGTTCTTTTTAACATACTGAAAAGGGTGACATATTTTATCTCTGTTTAATAGTTATTACCAAAACACTGACATATATAACTACTGTGATTGAATAAATATTTTATTTCTGGCTAAGTAAGACTACCTGAATTGCTGCTATGCAATTCAAGAACTATCCAAATAATGTTACAGTTACAGTAACTTTCATTCTGAAGGAGTCCAAGATGCTTTTCTCACCACTAAAACTCAGCCACATAGTAAAAAGACTAACAAGCATATATTTTAGGAGGGTAAATAAAGAATAATTTCTCCAACTGAAATTACAGTGAGAATTTTCCAGAGATTAAATGTAATTACTCATAATAGAATCAGCCAGGAATACAAGGTCAATATTGCAACTCTTGCCAAAAGATCTATTATCAAAGACAGGGACAGAGACATCTACTAATCACCCACCATAATCATTTTCAACGCTGGACCTGTACCATTTTAAAAATTCATGCTTGCTGCTGGAATTAGAACCAGAGAATTGGTGAAAATATCTAGCCAGGTACCCAAAGCCACAGCTCATTGAACTGGAGAACCAACTATTGTTCAACAGCGTCTTTAGCAGGTGGAGAGAGAATATTCAACCCATTTGAACTAATCTAAAATTTAGTAGCCAATTGGCAGTTAGAGAAAGCAATACAACCTACCCTTCTGTGCCAAGATGCTGACAAAAAAAAGGTACTAGATGAATTTACCCTGTTCCAAAAAGCACGGTGGCTCCAGTGAATTACAGACCATTATTTGTTCTGAGAGACACCAATATGAAGGCAGTATTAACAATAAGAACAGCAATGATCCTGCTTGAGTTTTTATTCAGTTCTATCATGCATAATTTAGTTACATCATCGTCCGTACCTTGCGATTACCCTTCAAGTAAAAACTAAAGCTGCAACCTGTCAACAAGAACCTATTGGTGTTTCTCTCAAGGTGATGCAGCTAAAAAGTGAAGATTTGTCAGCAAAGTGCTACACCCATGGAAGAATAACCAGAGCAATAAGCAGGCAGATTGGTGACCAAATTGAAGCCTCTGTGACCAAGTGTTAACACTCGCTATGGATATTGAGACCACCTACAGAAATTCTGTACGGACAGTCCTGCACCTTCTCCATCCAGCTGAGAACACCTCGGGGCATTGCCTCAGAGACAACAGAAGACAGTTTCTGTCATTACCAGAAACTCCCATATCACTGCCAGGCCGAATTAAAAACTGTTTTTTTGGCTCTACCACCACCTCTGAAGCCAGTTTAACAAGCTCAGGTGTGGCATGATCTGCTATGCCCAGACTGATTGTGCCTGGGGCATCTAGGACAGGCCAGCGCACATCAGTGGTACAGTGGAAGAAATCTGCATGCAAGCTGCAGAGGCCCTCTTTTCATGTTGAACTTTACAGAGGTTTCCAGCCAAACTCAGAAGCTACTGACTGGCTCAGAGGTACTTGGAGCATCTGCACCTGCCCAAACTGCCTCGCCTGTTTTGCCCATAACGTAATTGGTATAACAACACCAAATCTCACTTAAAACAGGGGTGCTGCAGCCCTAGCCTGTGGGCCCCCGGTGCTGCATCATCAGCCTGTGGGTGAGACAGACGCCACGAGTCTGAACATTTGGTGGCAGAGGAACAGTGGCACCGCCTTGCCACTGCTCAATTTCTAGGTCTGTGGGCGGCCCCTGGCTCTACACATTAAACTGAGCACCCAGTCTCAGTGTGTGGGGCTGGATGAGGGCGACCCTGGGTGCCAGGGCCCAATCCTGGTACATTTGAGGTCGGGTGGAAGCATCAGAGGCCTGATCCTGGTGCATGGGGCTCAATCCAGCACCACTCATCTGGCCTGTGGCGCTTGAGTGCTGCGGACACTAAACCCTCTGGCTGCTCGGGCACCCCCACTGCAATGTTGCAATGTTCGTCTCGACGGCGCCGTTGCGTCTCCTTGCAGGGGTTTCATCTCGATTTGCTCCTGCAGCTCTAGCTGGGGCAATCGACGAGCCATGCTGAAGACACCACGAGCCCACCACGGAAAGCAACCGGCCGCCACGAGGGCAGCCGATAGCACTGCCTGGGCTGGGACTAGAAAGAGAAGAGGAGGCAGCAGGTCGGCCATCGGGAACAAGACAGCAGACGGGACCCAGCAGAGCCCCCGCCCCAGTGCGGGGGCCTGCGGCGCCACCAGGGAGAAGGGGAGTGACAGCGGAGCAGCCCGCTCGGGCCTGCGGGACGGGGCAGGCAGCTCGGCCAGAGCTGGGGGTCCGTGAGGTGCTGGCGCCTGCTCACCTGAGGCGGAAACGCTCCCGCCAGACCTTGCCGCGGGGGGCGCAGGCGTCGCGCAGCCGCCGGCAGGTGCAGGAGACGCGGCCGATGTCGGCGGCGCCCAGCGCGGCGGAGCAGAGGATCAGCTCCAGCAGCTCCCCGGGCAGCGCCGTGAGGCCCATGGCGCCCGCCTCCGCTTCCGCCTCGGGCTCGGGTTGGGCGCAGGGGACCGCCACGGGCGCCGCCATCTTGGCTGTTTACCTGCGCGCCCCGCTGGCCCCGCCCCCCGGGTCAGGGAGCGTCCGCTGCTTCCGACCCCGCGAGGAACCGGGGCGGGGGAAAGTAAGGGAGCGTCTACAAAGTGCCTCGGCCACGCCTGCACGCACACCGCGCAGACTCGGGTTGCTCAGCGGGGGGGGGGGATGCTTGCACTCAAGTTTTGGCTGTGCCATGGCAGGGGCAGGGGAGAAACGTGGCTGGTGGGGGGGGGGGGAGAGGCACATGGGAGTGCAGCCAGCCAGGCACTCCAGCTGGGAGCAGAGAGGCTGCAACCTCCCCCTGCCCACACGTTCCCATGTGCTGCTTCACCCACCCCATCAGTCTGAGTTCACCAGCTGTGCCATTGTGTCCTGCTTTTGCCTTTTCAAGAGGTGGTCTCCCTACATTGAGGCACACAGAAACAGCCTCCATGCTCCTGCCTTTCTAAAGAGGCATCCTCCAGAGCTTTTCCCTGAGAGGAATGAGGAGAGGAAAAGCCCACACAGTGATTCTTGGTTAGGGTGCTATGGCACCTTGGCATGCCTTGAGATCCTTTCAAGGATGCTGTAGGGATCTCAAGACTTTGAAACCTCACAACAACAACAGGAGATGGAAAAGCAGAAGTGGCAGAAATAGCATGTCATGGACCAAAGCAGAAATCCAGCGCCACCCACCCCACATGGAAACATGTCTGGGCTGCAGTATAGTTTGTCAATCCTGGATAGGCCTTATCAGCTATTTTCGGACACACAGATGAGACAGTCATGGAAGACAATCATCCTCGACTGCGAGGGACTGCCGAAGAAGAAGAGGGTGCCACGCAACATAAGTTAGCACTGCTAGGTGTGTAAACCCAGATATTTCAAACAGGAATTCTTAGTGTTAAAACCACTGACTCGTCGTGGTCTTTCTGAGTTCTTTGCAACAGAAGAATTGCTTTTTTTTTTACTACAGAAAAATGAGTGAAAACTAAGAGTTGGCATTTTACAAGACATGCTTTGAATTTAAGGAGGGGTGCCTTAAACCTAAAAAATATTGAGAACCACCAAGCCCACAATTTCTGCTGCACTGGCAGTGGCATTGGCTAGATTTTCCAGTGATCCCAGTAAACAGTCCCTGTCCTCTCCTATTCGGGATGCTGTGGGACTGTTTGACAGTGGGAATGTGTCTGCATTCACACCTTCATGCCTCCCTCTTGAGTGCTAGGTCTAATCTTTATCCTGATGCTACTCTTACCTCCTTTCCTCTCCCTGGGGTTTGGACAGTTGCTGCACCCCTGCCTTCTGCTCCAATAGGGACTGCTGCTCACTCTGCTCTTGCTCTCTTTGGTCTCTCCTCTGCTTTAGTTAACAGCACTGCAGCTGTAAAATCTAATGTGTTAAAGTACTGGTCTCCTGCAACCCTGTTTCAATTCTGCCACTGACTTGTCTGGAGATCCAGGTTAAATCTTTCTCTGTTTCTGGCTCCATCTAATAAATAGCCAGAGATAGAGAGAATTTGCTTCAGAATTCTCCTGAATGGATTTTATCTGACCAGATTGGAGCCAGTGTTCATTCTTCTCTGCTTTCCAGACCTCAAGAAAACCAAGTATTATGGCCAGAGAGAGAATAGATGGAACTAAAGTGGCAAGAATCCTTAGACTGCTGCAGTATTGGTAAACTGACTGGGTGGGACAGGGTAGATGACCCCAACAGCTAATCCCACTCCACTTCTGCTACAGACAAAGGAGATGTGACCTAGGGGAAAATCCCTTTCCAAATTTAAACTGGCTGATCACGTGAGCACGAATCACCAGGATTTAGGAACAGAGGGTTTGCTGTGCTGTGCTGTCATTGGCTTTTCTCTTCTGGTGTCTTGCCCTCAGCTGTGGGTCACAGCTGTGCTTCAGAGGAACCTGGGGATTAAAATGAGCATCTAGCCAATTATGATTTTTTAGGGAAGAATTCCTTTCTGAGCCTTCAGGGGTCTGACTGAAGCCCTGAAGTGTTAGGCTGATTATACAAATTATGTTAAGTGGCAGAGCTGATACTGCCTGCCAAAACCAATATGGATCTCTCGCACTGGACCTGGAAGAAGAACAGACTCAGTGAACTTCCCCAGGGGTCTTTGGGCTTTGTGGTTGGTCACCAATTTGTCTCTCTCTCTGTCATGTACTATGTGTCTACATAAGTGCACACACACACACACACTCACACACACACACACACGCTTTCTCTCATGTATAGGTTGAAGACGTTTCTGCATTGGGAAATTTTAGTATTATATCACAAATGTTACATTGCTTCCGGCTGCTGTTTGAGTCCTCCTCCCATCCCCAACAAGACTAAGAGGAACAACAGCAAAAGCTGGTGACACCTATTAATGCAATCATCCTCTCTGAACAGCTTTTAACCAAGGAGACTGCTGCATTTCAATTGATCCCTGTCCCTAAGACACAAGCTGGGGCTATTCAACCCCATCCCTCCAATTCCTAAGAGAACAAGGTCCTTCTCCTTTTCCCGTATACCCAGGCCAGATTTATTAAGATGCTAGAAGTCCGACACCTAAGTCCATGTGTTGGAACTTGAGTGAGTGACTTCTTTATCACCAGGCATCTGAACATTCACTGGAAGTTGGACATGTTCTAAGCCTGTTTATCTTAAATTTTCCCACCATACATGTGCCTGCAATGCAAAGGTTGTTAAGATATAATGGTCAGAAAAACAAGCAGCCTGCAAGGCAGTGTCATATCTCCCAGAGAAATGCAAGCTATCTCATTGTATCTCATAGTAATGTCAGAGCTTTAAAAACAAACTGTCAGCTAAACAGAGCTTTGATGAGGTATATTAAGCTATATGGTGAACTTTGGGTGTCAGGAAACCACAGAAAGAGAAGAAACAAACTAACAGGACAGGCCTCTAGATTTAGTCCACTTTTTATTTTTTACTGTAATGCAAACAGGCATAAGTATTTTATTCCATAAAATCAGAAGATTGGAACTATACAGAAAGAGGTGCATGCTTTAGAACAGTGTGGATACCGCGCAAACAGAGCGGGAGTCAGTCCATGAGACAGGTGCTGGAGTACATTGTACGAATGGCAGAGATTTTAGCAGCATTGAGAGCTCAGAGGTAGGGGAAACCATGTTTCTGACTGCTTAAAGCATTGGTATGATAAAATACAACACCTGCGCATTCCCCACTCCCACCCCAACCCCCCTTCTCAAAAGAAACCTAGGTTTGAATCACGTTTAATGCTACAAAACAAACCAACCCCAACCCACCCACCTCGGGAAATGCAAAATGAGAATCAAGTCAATGCTCCAGTCTTAACTCATGGTGTCATTTAAAAAAATAACATGAAGGCACAATGACACAAAGAGGAGGTGGGAAGGTGACAAGGACAGGAGAATAAGGAAAGAATGGAGTTCCAGCCAGCAGGGGAGAAAACCCACCAGAATTCAAAGGCTGAAGAAAACTCTAGCATTTTAAATTTGTGGGTTTTTTCCTCTCCAAATCTCTGTCACATTTCACAAACATGTCCCCCTTTCACTGGGACACTTTTGCTCTAGCTGCTCCTGGAGTTCTACAATACGTTCATTTTCTGATCCTTCTTGTTGTAAAACAAGCATCTTATTTTCATGTTGCAGTCGAATAAACATTTCTCTGAAGTTCAAAAACAAAAAGTCACCATTCTGTGAAGTATATTTTTATAGTTCTTTCCTCAAAATGTGATTTAAATGGAAGAGGTGGCATTTTGCTTAACTATGATATCAATGTTTTTCATTAAAAC